AGCCAGAGAGCTAGCATGGTGATGGCTGGACCCGACCCGCGGATGACACGAAAATATGTCCAATCAATAATTCTCGGCGCGCAACCGTGACGAGGTACGCTGTTATGGTTCACAAAGGGAGCATCAACCCAAACACGGAGCCAGTCTATGGACTGTCGTGAGATCGGTAGCCGGAAATGAATAGAACTATTTTACAAACACTCGGAGATCGTGCCACAGCAGCGTACCTTTATTTGGGTTACAAGTAAGTGAAATGAATATGTAGTCATGGACCAACAAACTGGGATTGTGGATTCTGAGGTCGGTTCCGAGATGGCCCCCTCATGTCCTACTGTTCTTGGCGGTTCGATTCCCCGGTACGGAAGAGTCGTGCCTTGAAAGGCCTCTCCCCACGAACACGTTTCAAGCCCATCGATAGTTTGTCAACCTGGTACGTCGCCGGATTCACGAGCTTACACTGCCTGTGATCGGAGTCCATTTCTCGGCTGGAATATGCTGGTATGACACCGTGATTCCCTTAGCTAGACCAATTACGGACTGCGGATTTGGCGTCTGTAAATGTTTTCTGTTGTACGCGTTACTCAGAAGAGTATAGATAGAACTCGTCGCCGCCGTAAAGTGTCCGGAAGGTTCCTGTCTGATACGTGAATCGACCGAGAAATCAGAAAAAAGACAAATGATAGGATCATTTGCATTTCTTCAGCTGGAGAGCGAGATGAGAGGGTGCAAGTTGAAGGTACATTCATGATCGGCCCAGATCGGGACAGTCCGTCTAAAACCAAAAATGGCAGTATCAAATCATCCGCCGCCACGATCCCTTCAAAGTTCGAAAGTCAAAGCCAAGTTTTAAAGGCTTTATACGTTCAAGTGCACATGACAACAGGCCGCGCCCAGGCAAAGAACCCCGAATGATGCCCTGATGAGCATATGCATGCGCTTCCGAAGAGTCTCACGTCCCCAAATTATATATCCAATGACATCTTGCTAGTGTCCTAATCCTCCCAAAATTAGATATTCACAAAGGACGACTATTCCTCGGAATGATAAGTATGCAGTATGTATTCAAAAATCATTGCAAGCAGGGACATATGATACACCGGATGACAGTCGTCCGTATGATAGCCAGCCAAAAAACTGGGTACAGATTACACATTCCAGCACAAGTAGATAACGGGGGTGCGAAGCGTCGTTCGGAACATGGCGCCGTTGACTAACAGGATATGACTGGGCCAGACATAGAGATGTCTCTTTTGATGGAGACTTCGCGACCGCCACGACAAAAGAAGGCACTGAGGAATGACAGGACAATAGCATTAACGACAGCATCCATCTACAGCTGACACGACACTTGTTCAGTGTGCCAGAAATCCAGAGCAGTGGAAATACTAGCAAAATGTGCCAGGGCGGCTATCACAACACATACATGGAATATTTGGTGCGAAGAAAAGAAGTAATCGAACATCCCTGGCGAGAACCTTTCCGGGATACGATTTGCACTGAAGAGGAAACTTGTCAGTCTGCCTATCTTGACAATCAGAAGACGGAACCGTACTAAAGTAAGCCCCCCGCGATGTATAATCCGCCCGAAAACAAAAGCCAATTTAAGCCCATATCTGAGAAAAGCTTCAGGAAGCCATGGGTAACCAATGCGTGACACACGGGAATAATCCCAGTTAGTCCTAAACCGATGAATACGCTCGTTCGCAGACCGCGATGTGTGGCACGAGCATATTCAGGTTGGAGAACAACGTACGCCGCGCCTGGAATGGGCGGCAAATATTAGCCTTCATAGCTTGAGAAATATGGAGCAACCCACTGACCGAGACCGGCAGCTGTGAGTAGCGAAATGTACGTCACTTGGGCATAGGGACTGCAGAACAAGCCGTAATATATAGATGGGTAAAAGGATCCCAAGATGAGTACAACGATCCCCGAATAGTCGAATGCTACACAACGCGATGCTACCTATAACGAACCAGGTGTGAAGTTGACCGAAACCGGAAAGAAACCAAAGGTGCTGCACCTCTTTGGAATGGCAGGTGGATGTGTGAAAGAAGGCACTTGCACCTAGACAGAACACCGCCGAAGACAAGAACGACACGAAAACGAATAAGTCAATCCACGTCGTTTTCGGGTACGGTTCTAGGAAGCTGGGGTGAAATGTAATGAGAAAATAAAGGAACAATGCCGCGCCCCAGAGATGGCTGTGGATATTGACTAGCGGGGATGTTGAGTGGCCCGCATACTTTAGCTTAGCAGGTAACATACTTACCAGTTTCGTTGTGCAGATCTGTACAGTATGGAAGACGGGCGGAGAAGAGAATGGGGATTGGTAACAATGAGCTGATTACAACTCAAAAAGCCTGTCGACCAACGGACTCACACCCAAAGACAGAATGGAAGCATCCCCGCCAGTGATTTTGAGCTCTATTTGTGTTTCAAACTCAGTCCCGGAAACAAAGAGATAAGTGTCACGGTCGCGTCGTACCTTCGATACCCAGAGACGATGTACTCGTTATCTCTCATCCAGACAGGAACCTCGTGGATATGGAGCGTTTTGGAGAGATTTGGCACTCCAACGTGAAGGTCTGGAACCAGCGCTGTCGCCTCAGACAGCCTTCGTCTTACGGCCATAGTAAATGTATCTGCCCCCGTGAACACTGAAGATCTGAGATGGGCGGAAACCGTGTCGTAGTCGGAAAATGCCAAATGCCAACGCCGGGGGTATCGTGGTCCCTGTTGATAAGAAAGAAAATTGCCAACCTAAATTTCCGGGTATAGAGCCGACGGGGAATGGCAACGAAATCTGCGTCGCAGCCGATGGGGTAAAAAACTAAAAGGACAGAAACGCCACGTGTCCATGATCGACTGCCCCAAATTTGGGACGCTGTGCCGCAGCCTAACCCCAGCCTGAGAGTTGATCCAGGGTTATCGAGAAATAAATTCAAAGTACGCCGTTTCCCTTGTCTTTGCTATACAAGACGTGTCGTCTCGTGTTAATTCGGCTTAGAGTCTTATAAAATGCTGTGTGACAAGTCCAATGTACAATGAAAAGTATTTACAAAGCAAGGCCGTATTTATCGGACGAGCACTTACTTGGCGTACTAGAACTGCTAATGCTTGTATAACTGTCGGATTTGAAAGTTTTATCGATCATGACCGTAAGTGAACCCTGACAAGCCTTGAAATTCTCTCGAACGGGAGATACAAAATCTGTTTCCGTGCAAAAGTGACAGTTCAATCAAAATTCAATTTGCAACGGATACATACTCAACTAAAATTCCAGTATCCTTCGAACCAATCTGTAACAGCTCCACTGTATAATATTTGCACAACAGCGCTGATCGGTGGAGTGAGGTGGACGCGTGATAGCTTGAATACTGCTCGTGACTCGGACGAAAATTCGTGAAATGGAATTTTCATCATTCCACGCGATTGCCTTCCTTGAAAACGTGGAAAGTTATGTATAATATGTTTGCATTATGATATAGTTAGTCAAAGATGAAAAACATCATTTGTCATGAATTGAGTGCTTGCATTTCAGACGACGAAGCGGCAATTGGTCGCGGGAGCATATTAAGATGCGAGATTCGAGATTTACGCGGGAGCATTATACAGAAATCCTCGGAACTTTACTGATAGAGAAAACCTTTCTCCGGGTAGCCCATCTCAGTTGACCGTGAATCCAGAGGTACTCTGAGGATTGAAGGGTCGGATCACTCCACGTGGATGATCTGTGATCGATGGTGATCATCTTGCTGGGTTTACTCGCCAAGTACTTGGGTAATGAACGTTCTACACAGAGTGCGAGTCGCGATCGTTCCCAACCATTCAGTCAAACGACATGGTGGGAATCTGGGAACGAGAAATCAAGCCACGCGTTGCCATGGGTAGCTTGCCTAACATCACAATTGACTTCCTGGCAGAACACACGGCGCGTCTATGTATTACAGATCAGGGTGGGGTAACAGTAAGCGCTGAACTCACAGAAACTTATGGCATTTCGGTACCGTTTCGACTGATTGAAATGCAAGAGGACCCAGCAACCGGCCAGCCCCACGATGTTGGAGTAAGTTCCTGATTTAACGGCATTTAATTAAGGGGGTGGGAGGATGGTTATATGTCCTGCAAATAGGCGTCCTGCCGCGTACGGTACCTTCAGGCCTTTTCAACCCTGCAGTGACGCCATCGGAATTTAGAATTGTACCCTAGACCCTCGACGCTGTCGTCACCCGATTGAATGACAATTTTTCACGTCCGATACTTATCCTACACGCCTTGAGTTTGAGATGCGCCCCCTGGTCTCTCGTATACCTCTCATGTGCCGAATAATATTGCCTCGTTATTTAGGTGCGACGTACATAGGCGCGTGTCGTGGTAGTTGACGGAATCCGTACGTTACACCTGCGCCTATGAAGGGCCCGCCTCGTGTAGTTCACAATACGTACATCCACTGACTAAATCTCGCCGATAGAACGTATCACTATCGCCGGACGTTGTGCATAAGATGGGGCTAACAGAACAGAAAAGAGAACATGCCCTAGGGCAATACAAAGAATCGGAGAAACACGAAAAGCACCGAAGGCACCTGCCGAGGTTCCCACCAACTACCGCGGTACCGCACAATAGACTCGATTACGGAAGTGACGAAGGATCCCACGTTTGTTACATGTTCTTGAACCAGGAGTTGATAGCTCGGAGCCTGATGGAAAAACGATTGAACCAACGTGTGAACGTAGATCTGTTGTGCCTTATGAAAAAAGGCAATAATAGCGAGGGTGAGGGAGCGAAACAGAGAGCGAATTGAGCGACAAGTAAAAATAACGCGAGATCTACGCCTACGATCGGTGAACACTTGAGTTCCTGGTATTGTAGGTGTCGTGTGTAGTGTGCCTCTTAGATGGTAGTACAGTCCTAGTCCAATGACATCTGGCGGATAGATAAGGCCGATAAGTGTGTTGTAGAGTAAATAGAGTCAAGCCTCCCAAAGCAATGTTGTTGTCCTTTTAGCTCAGCGGTAGAGCGCCTCACTCATGCAGGTGAGGTCAGTTGTTCAAATCGGCTGTAAGGCTTAAGAGCCAAAGTAAAGGTAGATTATTTTTGCTTGGTCCGGGACATTATGTTCCGTCAAATAGTAAATTTGAGTTCGAGTGACCCTTGAGCACCATTGAACATTGACGACTCACACAGACAAGTCATCGCCAAGAAAGTATCGCCAGGGTGTTCAACAGACTCGATGCTCAATCCGGCGCTTTTATTTAAGCCAGAAATTCATCGAAGGAAACCTCTACCTATGAGGAAAACAATTCTTTCGAAGGGGATGTTTAGCGTGGCGCACCGTGAGACATTGCTGACTAGCCACGTGTGATCTGTCCTCCTTCCATCCTAATCCCATCTTGATTCTGCTGGCGACATCGTAATGACGGACATAGAACAACCATTCACGCGTGTACGATTATACATCGCTGTCCAGCAGAAATAAAGCCTGATTCTTCCATTTAGGTGCCGTATGAGAATTATCGCCGCGTATTTCGGACGTCCCAAAAGCACTTCGAAAGGGATTTTGGCGAACTCATCAAGCGAACTGCAACTGGCTCGGCAGTAGGCACAGAGGAGATGGATGCTATGATTACGAGGGTAGAAGGACTGAAGCGAAAGGTACGCTGACTCCGTGTTCGACTTGGAACTTTGTACTCATCACCGTGCAGCTCTCAGATTTGCACACCACCTCTGGTCAACCGACCCTCGATGTTATCCGGGAACGCCTTCAGCATCTTTCTGACCCGCCGACATCAACTTCTACTCAGCTTGACCGTTGGCTTGTCGACTGGGCTCTGCGTACAGGAAAGCCGTTGACTGCTCGTTCGATAGCTCAGTCAAGGGGCATCGAGACGCTGGTGGATATAGATCTATTCATGGACATGCATCGCATCGAGTCCGCCCTCTCAGAGCATAGATGTACCGAGGCCTTGGCCTGGTGTAGCGAAAACAAGGCAGCATTAAGGAAAATGAAGAACACGCTCGAGTTTGAGCTGCGACTGCAAGAATATATTGAGATGTGTAGACGAGGAGAGAAGCAGGATGCTATTGCGTACATGCAGCGGTATATGACAGCATGGCAGGAGACGCACATGCCAGCCATTCAGCAAGCTGCCTGCCTCTTGGCTTTCGGACCGGGAACAACCTGCGGTGTCTACAAGGTACATAGATCGATATTTTCGTTCTTGCAATGATTCTAAGACGTGTCTTGTTCTAGCGACTGTATGATATGTCACGTTGGACGACACTCACCACGTCTTTTCGTTCTAGCGTTTACGCCCTCAACGCTTTCCCGACAGAACCTATACTATATCTAGCCCTCTACGCTGGTCTTGCTGCCCTTAAGCTTCCGGCATGCAGCAACCACGACACGCGTAATGTCGACTGTCCTGTATGTGACGTAGGCTGGGGCGGGCGAGATCGCTCTGGTGACGCCAGAGAAGGCTTAGGGCTTGGATGCCTTGCAAAAGATGTCCCAATGAGCCATCATGCAAATTCAGTGATTGTCTGTCGGATCAGTGGAAAGATAATGGACGAGGACAACGGGCCAATGGCCTTTCCGGATGGGCATGTCTATTCGCGGGAGGTACATACCCTTTCTTCTTCATCTTCTGGTCCAGAAGACATATTGACGGAACTCGCAACTTGACAGGCTCTGGAAGATATGGCCGCAAGAAATAATGGCATTGTGACATGCCCTCGGAGCGGCACGACTTGTGAATTTAGCGCCCTACGGAAAGTGTTTATCTCATAATTGACACGGACATGACGGTTGCTCTCCGGCTGGCGGTATGTACATATGTGTACTGTATATTTTAATGATTGTTCTCCGGCCAGAATCCGTGGCGTTCTCTGTCACACCGACAACTTGCAGTCGCATAATTTCATATTCAAACATGTCACCCTTTGGGCCGCTCATAGCTCGCCGTTAATTAGGCGGGACCGTTTACTGGTCCGTTCCGAAATTCAAGGATTCCCATTGTGGCTCTGATTTTCTGTCCACCAAATGCCACAAATCGCGTCCTTGTCAGGGATCAGAAACACCAAATATAGCCCATATGATTTTCGCTTCACTACTCAGATCGGGATCCACTGAAGCAAACTACTATGTATCGATCTTGTCTCGTAAGTCACACTGGTTTGGTACGTGGTTTCACAGGATGGGGCCGCCGGTCGTCGGTTAATGTGGTTTTTTTGACGTAAATGATGTTTTTTTTTACCCACCATCCCCATCTTCAGACCAGCCGAGAGCGCAATTTGTGGCCAACGGTCGGAGCCGTGGTACGCATCGCCTGGTCCACAGACATTATTGTTTAAATAATTCCGATTAATACCTATTATTATTTTCCGCAGGTGCACCTATTTACCCAAAGGCTCCCCCACGAGTATAGGCAGTTGCATGAGGTGAACTCAGTAAATGAGGGCTAAGTTTTCTCTCACCCGGAAATCGGATTTTTGAACAGCATCAATTTGTGAAGGTTGAAGACCGGTCATGATCTCAAAGGCACACCGAGGTCGATGTGTACGAACCATTTGCAACGGTGGCTCCGAAGCTGGATGGCCGGTCCAAACCTTCTGTGGCTAGTCGTGCTTTCTGATGTCCTGCGCCGCGGGGACGATTCGATTCACGTAGAAGGCTGGGTCAACTATGCTGCGTCTTTCAATTTCACCCTCAGCAAGAAGACTCGGCGACGTAAGCTCCGCTGGAATAGGTTCTACTTCTGGCAGACAACGACTCGGTGCCATCTCTCTCAGCAGAGAGACCTTTATGGCGACTGCGAGTGCCCCCACCCACGGCCTTCCTTTCTCACTAACTTGGACATGCTTAGCCTGAAGTCGCTTGCGACATCTGTTGTAGATCTCCCTAAAACATACAACTAGTACCCACGACGTGCGCTCTGGGCTGCATCCAACGCGGCACCTTATGGTTAATGCTCAGTTCTTTTCCATTCCGGATGCGATGGGAACTTGATGATGATCGGCGACTATACTCAAGCCACCCGTACCTCGACTGCCACACTCATCGCAGACGGAGAACAGCGTATCAAGAACCAAATCATACGAAAAAGAAAAGAAAAGGCTAGCACATAATTCCCTTAGGTTCCTTAACTCTAAAATTTCTCAGCTCGTTGGGACGCTCTTCACGGAAGTTGCAACTCGACCTCAGGTCCGGTACAACGTGAGAGCGGTCCAATCCATTACCGCGCACAGGCGATTCGTGGAGGCCATTCTATTCGACGACAGACTGACCAAAAGCTAGGGCATGATGCCCTCAGACTGCTTAGTTCTAATATTTCTCAGCTTGACGTGACGACAGCTTCAGCTGAATTTCAGGTTCGTGAGAGAACTCCAATCCATTATCGTACAGTCGATTGGTAGAGACCACTCTATCCGACACAGATCTACACCCCTTACTTGTCTTTTCTCCAGGCTTCTCAGGCATTGATTCAGACCCGGAACCTGACATTGCTTCTTGCTGTATGTTCCTGTCCTTGTGTGGCGTCATGTACTAAATAGGCGACTGTAGGCGACGAAGGTAGCATTGATTTTCCCCTCTCATTTCCCATTAATGCAGATGATCATAAGCGTGGGTTACTAAAATACCAAGGCCGCAGGTTCTGGCGTTCAGAAAAGTCCTTGGAATTCTAGATTACCGCAGGAGCCTGCCAGACAGACGCATGCAACCATCGTCGTTGTGTAAAAGCCGAACTCGCAGACTTAATCATCAATGTCACGTACTGACAACTAAATTTGGTGGACGATTGAATGGATAGAATACAGATTCAATGGGTACAGGCACGAGTCTACATGAACACCGGGTCCTACATATGCAACAAACGTGGCCACTGGACTGGCCACATGAACCGACACCTAAACCGTGTCGTAGTCAATGACGGTCTCATAGAACTCGGAGATGATTCGCTTCTGAGTTTCTCGACCTGTCTCGTTCTACAGAGAGACATAAATGACATGTCAAGGGCAAGCATGGCGCAGGGGCATACCTCAGAATCACCAATCGGACGAATGACGAGGTATTTCCTCGAAGTCAGGATTTCCTCGCCAACCTCGCCAAAAGTGATAGTGTCTTTGCTCGAGTCAAAGATCTCATGGGAACCTGTGACCAACCCGCCTGCTTCTTGAGCAATAATTACTCCTGCGGCAACATCCCAGGGCCAGGGCCCGATTTCCCTAGGAACATTCGCATCAACACACCCCATACCAAGTGGCAATTACTTACCAATACATGTCGAAAGCACCTTGTGCAACGTATACAAAGTTCATAGCTGAGGTACCGAGAGACCGCAAGGAGTGTGCCATGCGGGCCTTGTGGATTCCATTAGCGGCGTCGCTCACCAACCGGTGGAAGCTCTCAGCACGAGCAGCCAAAGGTGGAATACGACGATCAAAGCCCCATTCAACAGCTATGATGTACCTGCGTCAGGCACAAGCGCTGATAGAGGACTAATAGAATCTAACCTAGTTGTGCTTTGCTTAACGAGGGAAGGGGCCGAGGAGGGTTCGCAAATGGTAGCTTTCGGCGAACACCCTCTGGGCCTCCCTTAGTGACGTACGAACCTCCATCTTTGACGCCCGTATACTTGAGAAGCACGTGAGAAGACAAATAGTACCGAAATTCGAATATGTACCATAGTCTCGAGGAAGGGGTTATATATGATGCCCAGAACTGAACGGCGTTCTACCAGTAGAGCGATGGAGAGAGCAACCATAGGGAAACCATGTACGAAATTGGTCGTTCCATCTAAGGAAAACGTGTCAGCCCGAAGAAAGCAACTAGAACATCTGTATACTAACCAATGGGGTCAACACACCACGTCGGTTCGTCTGTCCATTCCGGTCGAGCCCCTGCCGCGTAAGATTCCTCACCAATACTGTCAAGGAAGTCAATCTACACGAATAAACACGCTCCGGTAAAGTATACGTACAACTGGAACGAGGGATACTTCTCCCCGAGTTTTTCTTTGACAAGTTCCTCCACTTTGACGTCGTATTCAGTGACGAGGTCAACTGCGTT